TGTGATGCTTTGATGACAGCACAACCCAGGTCCCATGAGATGAGACACAGAATACACAAGCTAAGTATCCCTTATCCAAAATGCTTGGGACACAAATATTCTGGATTTCATGATAAAATATCTTGGGGACAAACCCAAGTCTAAAACCAAACTTCATTTACATTTCCTACACATCTTACACACATAGCCTGAAGGTAATTCTACACAAGATTTTTTAAAATTTCATGAATGAAACAAAGTTTCATGGAATGATTTTTCCTCTTGTGGCGTCACGTTGGCGCTCAAAATATTTTGAATTTTTTGGACACACAATGGGCGCTGCTCAAAAACCAGGGAAGCTCTGCACTCAGAAATGGCCCTCGTGCCTCCAGCTTTAGAAGAGGCCTCACCAGTCAGTGGTGTCTCCCAAAGACCTCCTGTGTGCTGGGCACGTTCTGAGTGCCTTCCCCTAGCTCACAGGATCTGTGTCATCAGTCAAATGGTGTGAACCCATATAATGGGACGCAGAGACCCGCGCCAAATACTCTACACTTGCAGGTGGGGAAGCAGTGGCATAGGAAGTAGAGAAGGGTCAGGAGAACCCGGATCTTGCCAACTCCACTGATGACTCTCACAACTTTGGGTAAGTCACCTCCCTGGACCTGGTTTCAACTTCCTCACTGAAAACACTGAGATGGCACCAATACTCCTAGCACGTTAGGTATGCCAAAGGGTAGAGGAGGCATACAAAAAGCAGGGGCACAGGAGGAGTTCTGTTTGTTCTAAGAGAGGAAGTGAAATTCCAGACAGACCCCCACCCTGCCTCTGCCCACCACACACACACACACACACACACACAACCAAGCCATTCACCAAAGTTCCCCTGTGCCCTTCCTGGGCCCAACTCACCCTGCAGTATGCTCTCCAACGCCATGAACTTGTCCTCAGGTAAGAGTCTGATTAAACCAGGGAGCCACCACCACCTCCCCACAGTCCCCTCTCCCCACACAGTTCTGAAACTTCAGTTCACTTTCTATGAACTGGAATGTTGGCCCAAGGCTAAATACTTTGTCTTATCTCATCAAATTTTACAAGGCGAGGTAAGGAGACATGAGCAAGCAGATGAAGATTCCTTGAATTTGAAAAGGGTCTAGGCAATGCACACTCATGAAGATTCAACTGCACTTGTCCCTGAGAGCAACCCAAGCTCTGTGGTATTAACTCCCAGGGACACAGGAAAGGATGAATGTCTACAAAGTCTATTCGTCTTTTTCTTTTTCTGCGGTGCTGGGGATGGAATCCAGAGCCATGCACATGCAAGGCAATTGCTCTAGCCACATATCCAGCCCTTTTTATTTGAGACAGGGTCTTGCTAAGTTGCCCAGGCTGGCCTTGAACTTTCAATTGTCTGGTCTCAGTCCCCAAGCCTGAGGATTACAGGTGTGCACCATCACGTCCAGCAAGACGTGTTCTTAAATAGGGAAGAGTCAGGATTAGAGATAGGGCACTATAAAAAAGACTGCACAAGCCACTGCTGGCTTGGAATATGGAGGAAACAGGCTGTGGATCGAGGAGGAAGGCACCTGTGGCAGCTGGAAAAGATAAGGAAACAGACTCTCCCCTAGAGCTTCCAGAAGGAACCAGCTCTGCCAAAACCTTGATGTTAGCCAGGTAGGTCACATCTTCAACTACTGACCCCTGGAACTGTAAGAGAATAAATTTTTCTTATTTTGAGCCATGAAGCTTGTGGTTATTTGTTACAGCAGCAAGAAGAAACTAATACAGCTTTGTTTCTATGGTTTGAATGTATCCCCCAAAATTACATGTTGGAATTTCATTTCCAAAGCAACAGTATTGAGAGGAAGAATGTTCAAGAGGTGATCATATCATGAGAGCTTTGTCCTCATGAATGGATTCATGCCATTAATGTTTCAGGAGTGGGTTCCTGATAGAGGATGAGTTTGGCCCCTTTCCCTGCTATTTGGCATTTGTACACTTGCCCTTCTGCCACGGAATGATGCGGCAAGAATGCCCTGGCCAGATGTTGTCCCCTTGACCTTGGACTTCCCAGCTTCCAGAACAGCGCAACACAAGTCTTTGTTTAGTGTGTGTGTGTGTGTGTGTGTCTCTCTCTCTCTCTCTCTCTCTCTCTCTCTCTCTCTCTCTCTCTCTCATACACACACACACACACTCCAGTTTCATGCATTCTAATAAAGGCACAGCTCTTTACTGAAAAGCCAACAGCCTCTCCTATAGACATGGCTCAGCCCAGTTAGCACTCTGTTATTTAATATACTTGAAATACAACTATTCCAACTGAGGGACTAGCGTTAGTTAACTGAAACATCCATACGTAGCTAGTGGCTACTGTTTTAGACAGCATAGGCCCTGGCTACTAAAAGTGAGGTCCAGGGACCAGAAACATCCCGCCACCAGGAAGCAACTTAGAAATGTAGGCCATCATGGCAGGGGTGTGGTTCAGCGGCACAACACATATTTAGCATGAGGTCCTCATCCCCAGTCCCAAAATGAGAAAAAAGAAATGAATCTAGACTCTCAGCCTGCACCCCTCAACCTGTTAGGCAGAATCTACACTTCACGAGTATCCTCCAAGGACCCCTAGGGTTGTCAGGTCTGAGATGCTGTAGTTGAAGCCATCATCCACTTACACACATACCCTTTCCCGGAGCACCAGGAGACCAAGTCCCTTCACTGCACTTCTCAGGTGTCTTCCTTGACCCCACCAGGGATTTTTGTTTCGTTTTGTTTTTGAGATGAGGTCTTACTATATTGCCCAGGCTGGCTTCAAACTCTTCCTGCCTCAGCCTCCAGAACAGCTGGGACTCCAGCCATGTGCCACTATGCTGGCTTGTTTTCTTTTTGAATGACGTGAAACACACTATGCCAAAGATATGGACTAATAACAGCTGTTGAATATCTACTACAGGCCAGACCCTTGGGCATCTGTTATGGACTTAATTATGCTCCCTCCTAATTCCTATCATGCAGCCTTAACCTCCTAAGTGACCACATTTGGAGATAGGACCTTTAAGGAGGTAATTAAGGAAAACCAAAGTCAGAATGGTGGGCCTTAACCCCATACACTGTTGTCCTTACAAGAGAGAAGTACCAAGGGGTGAGCAGAGAAAAGGCCACGTAAATACAGGGTGAGAAAAATGGCTGCCTGTAAGTCAGGAAGAGAGCCCTCACCAGACACCAACCCTACTGGTACACTGATGGACTTCCAGCCTCCAGTCTGTGACAGAATAAATTCTGATGTTTAAGCCACCCAGTTCCAGTATTTTGTTACAGCAGCCGGAGCTGATTAATACACCAACTCATTTAAACCTCACAAACCCTGCCAAGGAGGTCTTTTCATAACAAAATTGACAAAAACAGCAATCACAAATTAAGTGCCTGCTCGGTGCCAGGCAGAGTATAGGCACAGACCCTCTATGATGTGGCTCTGTCCTTCACTGTCTCCCACATCACAGAGGAGGACATGGAATTGCAAAAGACCAAGACATAGCCCCAAATCACACTTTATAACTGACAAAGCTCATGTCTGATCCACACCACCATCTCACTTTCTGCTACAATCAGTCCTTAACCAGGGCACCCCCTTTTATTCTTATGTACACAATGAACTCTAATTAGAGGCACCAAAGCTTTAATCCCTCTAAAGAACTTATACAACTCCCCGCCCCGAACAGTCTGTACTCTTGTGCCCACAACAACTGACCACCAACTGGCACAATAATGTGAACTGGACACCAATGAACAGGATCCACACCTGTAAGATGTCCTTTTTTTTTTTTTTTTTTAAATTGCCCATTTCACAGGTCAGCAAATTTTGCCCTAAAGAGCCAGAAAGCAAATCTGTTAGACTTTGAGAGACAGATAGTCTATCACAAGAAATCAGACCTGCCCTTGTAGCAGGAAAGCTGGAACAAATGAGATGTAAATGAACGCACATGGCAGTGTTCCAATAACTTGATTTATGAACCAAAAATTTTGAATTTCAGGCTGGGGATGTAGCTCAATGATAGAACATTTGCCTAGCTTATGCAAGGCCCTCAGTACCATCTCCAGCGCTACAAAAACAAAAAAAAATTTGTTCTGAATTTCCTACACAGTAGTTATCTATAGGGAGAACATTTCAAGACCTCTAGTATATGACTAAAACCATATAGTGTCAAACCCTCTATATATACACTATGAATTTTACTATACATAGGTATCTACAACAAAGTTTAACTTACAAACTAGGCCCTGTGAGAAATCAACAATAGCTAATACTGAAATATAATAATATACCAGGGCGGGGGGTGTGGCTCCATGATAGAACACTTGCTTAGCATGCAGACCCTAGATTCTATCGCCAGCACCACAAAAAGGATACTTCAATTCAAGTTATTTAGGACTAATATGAATTATTTATTTCTAGAATTTTTCTAATTAACATTTTCAGATCCTGGGTAACTGAAACCAAAGGAAGTACTAATAAGGAAGGACTACTCTAACTTTCTTCTTTTGCTTTTCTGTAATGATTTAAAAATTAAAAAATCATTGTGTCTCCGGGCTGTGAAAAAGACAGGCTATGGGTCAGATCTGGGCAACAGTTCACCAATCCCAGATCAACAACCCACAGGTCCAAAAGGAAGCCAGCATACCACATAGTGACGCAGTTCTTGTCTTTTTTGTTTGCTTGTTTTGTTTGCAGTGCGGGGATGGGACCCAGGCCCTGCACGTGCTGGGCAAGTACTCCCACTGAGTTCTACCTCCACCACCCTGCCCACCATTTTCTCATTGAAAAAAATGTAAAGTCTGAATTTCCAATTTGTTGTTACTGATCTTTTTCTCATCTAGGAATACTTGCTGAACTCTCATTTTCAGGTATTCAAGTGCCAGAGAGGGGGTTCAAGAAAATCAAGTGCTTTTCTCTGTATCATAATGAAAATCCAGGGGATGGTGAAAACAAACTCTAAGTAGAATTTACATCTTGTTTTTGCTTTTAAGAGCATGCCTTTTGCTTTATACACATACTGCATGTATCTTCCATTAACACAGGAAAACATCAGGAGGCTTGTCAAATATTTCATAAACTCAAATTTGGCTAAGAAAGAGATAATCAAACAGTTGGAATTAAAAGAAAATGCCTAGCTAGTGACAGCTTTGCTGGCTTTTCAAATCCAACCACTTCAGATGACAGCTGATCTCGTTATCACATTGCACTGCTGCTCTGAGAGAATTCAGGGAGACAAGAAGGGTCTCCCCCACCATCAAGAGAAAATAAAATTGGGTTTCAGTCTACTAACCACACCACTTGAAAACGCTGGCTAGATTTTTGGCAAAGTTGATAAAACCTGTTTGCAAACAAATAATATTTGTTAAGATCCAGACAGCAGGAAATGCAGATTTCAGTTTTGGGGAGAAGGAACACCTTTAGATTCCCCGTCATATTCTAGCCATCATCTTCAAGGGTTGGCAAATTTTTTTGATAAAGAGCCAAATAGGAGATATTTTCAGTTCTGTGGACTACACAATTCTTCAACTATGTGGCTGAAGTGCAAGAATAGCCACAGCAGCTGTAGACAACATATACAGAAAGGAGCATAGCAATGTTCCAATAAAACTTTATTAACAAGATAAAGCAGTGGGCCAGACTTGACTGTGGGCTATAGTTTGCTAATCCCTGCTCTAGAGCAGCTGGAACTAAAGTGCAATGAGACTCCCATTCAAAGGAAAGACTGCAAAATGACAAGGGCAGAGGAAGCAAAAATGGGTTCAAACATGAACTCTAAAGGACACATGGCCAGAGCAGGTGCAGCTCTGTGGTCTTGGAGTTTGCCATGTGTGGCTCCTCACTGGGAGTGCCTTCACGCCACACACCCCAGGGTGAGCAGCAACAGGCTGTATTACTCAGAAGTGGTTAAGACCCTCCTGGGGGAGGCAGAGGTGCCAAGGTGCAGCCAACTGCTGTCATTTCTCTGCTGTCACAGGGAAATAGTTATTTGGGTGGAGCTGAAAAACTTGTCCTCATTCGCAGTTTATGTAAACTGAAGTAGCCTGACACTAACATTGCTCTCAGTCACAGCTGATGAGGATCTAGAACCAAGTTCTTTGGTTAAAATAAAGACAAGGATGTGGGTTGTCCAGGTGCATTTTTCTTTGAGGATTCTTAGTCTAAAGTTGTCAAAGTAGAACTTTTTCAAAAAAGTGATCCCCAAAAAGCCATTAGGGAGGAACACAGAGATGTTCATCAAGGTGTTATTATAACAGACAAAAAATGTAGATAATACAAGTGTCTATCATCTGAGGACTGGCTAAACTAATCATATAATGTCCTTACCATGAAGTATTTGCAGTTAACAAGAATAACACTGTACGGCTGGAGATGTAGCTCAGTGGTAGAACACTTGCCTAAGCACGCAGGAGGCCCTGAACCTGCTCTCCAGCACCACAGGGAAACAAAAAAAAGGATATTGTAGAAAAAGGCATGGTCACGTTATCAGGTGAGAAAAGCAGACAGGAAGATAACTAAGATAACATACAGCATAAAGAAAATGATGTGCTACACTCAAATAGCACTGCATGGAAAAAGAGCCAGAAGGATGTGCACCAGGTGAGTCTTTGGGGGCAATATGCAGATAGGTGAATTTTTGCCTTCTAGCAAGTTTCTATTTTATAATGTTCCGACAATAAGTATATATCAGTGGTAAGAAACTTCCAAACAAGTAAAATGAACTAAAGCCACAGTGATGGTATATTCCAATGTGCCCTTCCAGGGTCTCTGCCCCAAGCATGAGAGAAGCTAATGAGGGTCACAACACTGGTAATAATTGTCGCATTGATAACAGTGGCCAAAGTACAATGTCAAGTCCAGCAAGAAGGTCAAGGTTAAAGAGACAGTTATTGAAATGAGAACCATGAAATTTCTCTGGACGCTGGGAAAGTATAAAGGGAAGGACGCTAGATGAAACCAGCAGAACCCACACTGCCTGACCCACATCAGAACTGTGTCACACACACAGACCTGCACATGTAAACCGGGACGGGAAAGTGAAGACAAAAGGTTTACCATGCCAGAGGCAGTTCCAGTTTTCAATGTTAGGGCCAGCCTGTACCAGTGCAGGTGGAAGGAGAGAGGAAACACACGGTGATGACACCTACTGGTGTCAAGCGCTCACAGGCAGCTGGCCCGTGCTCAAGTTTGCAGAACCTCACATCCCAGGCCAGCATGAGCTGCAGGCCTATTAGAGTCGTGGGAACTGAGGCTTCAAAAGGGGAAGCAATTAGCTAGGGCCCCAGAGATGGGAGTGAAGCCACATCTCACTAACCCACATCTAACTAACTGCATGAGCAATTCAACTGAGCCGGGCCTCCCAAAATTCAAATTTCAGTAGCCTTCAGAGTCCAATGAAGGCTTCTGAAAAGCTTCCTAAAGACGCACATTCGAGGCCCTGGGTTCCATCCCCAGCACTGAAAAAAAAAAAGAACTAGACACATTCACACATTCATGAGGTTCACTTTCTAAGATGTATAGCAGCTTCCAACAGGAATGTGAGAAAGCCACTGTTTATATAAACTTAACAATGAGATAACAGTTCTCTGGCACAAAATACAACTACTGAAACAAAACCTCCACTGAGAGCATTCCTTCTTAGCACACAATTCCTCCCCCTCACAGGCCAATGCCTCGCCTCCCAGAAGCCCCAGCTCCAGGCTGAAAGTCAGAAAGGGGCCCTCTTACCATTCACATGGCTGAAGGAGGGATGGGCAACACCTTGGCCTGTGTATTTATGACAAGAACAAAGGCCCAGATCTGGCAAAGCTGGTAACTGAGTAGCCATGAAACTGAACGTGACCCTGGTCTAGAAGGTCAAAATCACATGTGCCCAATTCTTAACCACCATTTATCAAATGAAATCTAAAAGGGAAAATCTACTACCAACTATTTTCTGACTTCATGACAGCCTTCAAAATGAATCTTGGGTGTTTTTCCCAAGGTTATTCGAAATGCTTCAAGTTGGAAAATGATGTCTTGGCTTAAAAAAAAAAAAGTCACGATCGTCTAGGTGTGGTAACATGTACCTGTGGTACCAGCTACTTAGGAGACTGAGGCAGAAGATAATACTTGAGCCCCAAAATAGGAAATCAGCCTGGGCAAAATAGTGAGATTCCATCTCAATAAATAAATTAAAAAAGTATAAACAAAAGTTCCTTTTTAGAAATGAGCTTTATTTTCAATGCTATTGAGTTCTAAAAACCTGCATATTTACTTTTTTTTCCCTCCAGGTTTACCTACATGTCAAAGATTTCAAAAACCAAAACAAACAAATCAGATTCAGGATGCCAAACACCAATGTATACTTTTAGCAATGAAACCAGAACTCCCTTTCAGAGAAACTTCTGGAGCAAACACTGTATTTCCTAGATCAAGACTCGCTGTTTTTCAAACTCAAAACCACCTATATGAGAAGCAACTTGAACTTGAGCTTTCAGAATGTGGAGAATATCACACAATGAAATCACTCTCGTCTGTGCGGGTGTACAAGTGGCTCCCAGAGTCACTTTATTTAACAAAGGACTTCAAAGCAAAGAAAATTTCTTCCTAACACTCCCATCAGACACTGCCAGCCATCCCCACTCCTCTTCTGCAACACTGGACAGTGGCCCACCTCATCCCTTTTACTAACAGTTTAGCGTCTAAACAGGAAGCTTGGTGTCCCTGTGACAGGTGCCCCGCTCCTTAAAGTCCTGGGGATGACCTTGGCTGCTTTGAGTGGCCAAGCAGACTATCACTGGGACGGGGGAAGAATCTGAAATCAGGACCCTGGCTGGCCCCAGAGCCACTGTCAGATCCAGCAGGGAACATGGAACTCACTGTTATTTATAAACGCCCGAAAGAGGATGCTTCAAACTTAAGAGCCAACTCTTCTGCTCAGACCCCTGGATTAAAATGCTTTTTAAAAGTTTATACAATTCTAACCAAAAGGATGGTTATTAAAAATAAAGCAAGAAATATCCCAAATCAGACTTCTTGTGAAAGCTTGACACAGAAAGGATTCCAATGCGATGGAATGACCCAGACACGTTCTCTCCTCTAAGGGGAATGTCACTTTATCAGGCCCCTTACGGAGACCCTCCTGAGACCCCTTAAGTCGACAACATTCCAATTCAGAGGCCAAAGTGAAATTATCTTTGAAAACAGTGACATGGCTGGGAAGCCACGTGCATTTTGGTGAATATTTTTCCACCCACCACGAGCTTAGGCTTTCTGGGAAGGTCCTTGGTTTTCTGATCAAAAACATTCTTGAAGTCATCAGGAACAGAGAAATGAAGACTTGACATCCGGAAAAATGAATCCTGGGTTCTGTATTCAGGGCTCAAGAGCCAAAGAGTCTGGAAAAGGCAGAGGGCAGAATGACTGTGAGGATGGGAAGCCACTGGTCTAAAAATATTATTAGAGATTATTTTATTTTATATAATTCTCTGCTCATGCACAATATGTGAATGTAGTCAACCATACTGTACTACTTACTTACTTCTTAATTTTTTTTTTTTTTTTTGGTACTAGGGATTAAACCCAGGGGCACTTTATTACTAAGCTATGCCACCAGCCCTTTTTATTTTTATTTTGATACAAGTTCTCAGTTAGTTGCTGAGGGTCTCACAGAGTTGCCCAGGCTGGCATTCTTGAAATTCTCCTGCCTCAGCCTCCCAGTCACTGGGATTATGGCGTGCACGACCATGCTCAGCCAACAGATTTAACACATTTCAAAGTAAGTTACAGATATCAGCGCCACTGATCCCTAAACATTCACAGATATTTCTCCCCATATTTCAAGTTACTTTAGGATTTCCTAAAATTCCCGAAGTAGCTTAGCTCAACTGATACAGAAGTGGGTACAGGGAATACTGAGCTGTGCCCTGGGCTCTGCCAACTTCCTTAGCGACTGCAGCAGTCACTGCCATAGACCCTAAGAGTGGATCCTTTCAACCCCACGATGGAGGTCTGCCTCCCATACTCAGGTGCTCAGTCAGAGTTTATTCCATGTTTACTTCCTACAACATGCATCAGTGAAAAACTGTCCGGGAGTCATCTGACCTTCTTTACTTTCAAAACATTTCTGCATTCTCACAGAATCTTTGCTAGCAACCTTTGATAGCATCATGACAGTTCACAGCACAAGAGTTCTTCAAGTTACCTAACCCTTCCCCTGTTCTTGAACATTTCTAGACTTTTTGTTTTGAAAATGTCTTCTTCATAAAGGGATAATGCATGGCCACCTCCTGCCCTTTTCTCAGTACTAGAGTTTGAACCCAGGACCTCATACCTGCTAGGTTAAGTGCTCTACCACTGAGCCACATCTCCAGCCTTTTCAATTTCTATTTTGAGACAGCGTCTCAGTAAGCTGCTGGGACTGGCCTTGAACTTGAGATTCTCCTGCCTCAGCCTACATTACAGACATGCACCACAGCACCCAACTTTACTTTCTAATATACTAGGAAAGTCACTCATTGCCTTCCTGCGTAAAGTCTCTCCTTCTTCTCCTTGTGCTTCGGATGCAAAGCTACATCCCCAACTGAAAGCCCTTTCTTAAGAGAATCTTCTCTCACCCAAAGGCCCCACTGAAAGAGCTGGCCTAAATCAGGGGTTTACATGCATTCTCTGTCAGGGGCCACAAAGTAAACAGTACTGGCCTCAGGACCTTTACACATGCTACTTTCTGTGCTGCCATGCTTTTTCTCTAGCTCTGCAAATGACAGATTCCTTTCTGTCCTTTAGGTCTTGATTTAAGACGCACTTACCCAGAGTCTTTCTTTCCCTCATCTCTGACACTGGGAGCTCCCTTCCCACTTGCCACCTCAACCGATTGTTTCCTTTTTGCCATTTTTTTAGTTCCATATCCCACCAATTTTGCTGTGCACTTTCTGAGGGCAAGGACTATGGCTGTCCTGGCCTCAGCCTTCAGTTCAGAGTACAGCCCCAGATGGAGAGTGAATACATGGGCACCTAGAGAGACAAAGGATGGAGTCGCCCAACTCGGTTCCACTTTCTGTGAGTCCTGGTTACACCTCCTACACTCAAGTGCAAATTCCTTGATCTGCAATCACAAGCCCTCTTTGTTTCTGGGCAGGACTCATTCATGCTCCCAAACTGACTGGCCAAGCAGGACACCTGGAGATGGGTCTCTCTGGGAATATGTCACGGTTCTCATTCTGGGATCTAAAACCTTTTCAGAGACCCAGTCAAATCCCTTCTCCCCAGAGCTTCTAAATCCTGGAACCACCCCCAGATAGCCACAAGGCTGGCTCAAGGACCACCCAGCAACCCCTGAATTCAGTATCTCCATTGCTCAGAACAGTTAACATTGTGTCCTCGTCCTTTTCAGGGGAAGCATGTGGGGATGGACCCAGTGAGGCCTAGAACTTGGCATTCATTTCAAGTCCATTTACTGTGAATCTCGTGATTCTTTAACAAAAGTGTTGGAATCATGATCCCAAGACTGGAAAGAAAAGCAATCTGCTTGGGTTTTTTTGCCTAATGAAAAAGTGAAGGTGACCATAAAAACAAAAATAAACTCTGGATATAGTTCTTCTGGTTCTAGGAAGGCTGCTGGAGTAGGATCTGGACCTTTTAAGTCATGTTTTCCACCTCAGCAGATGCCAAGTACAGGCTGAGACCAGTAGAGGTGGCAAGAGGGGACAAAGCCATGTGGGACCTGGAGGACACCATGTTCTAATAGAAACTCAAACCAGCCAGGCAGGACTTCAGGCTCCAGTTTTCTCACTTGTGTGGAGAGTTCTTACTTTTTTGTTTTCTTTTTGGTACCAGGGATGGAAACCAGGGGTCCTTAACCATTGAGTCACACCTCCAGCCCCACCCCACCCCCACCCGTTTTATAACCTATTTTGAGAAAGGGTCTCACTAAGTTGCTTAGGGCCTTGCTAAGTTGCTGAGGCTGGTTTTGAACTTGCTACCCTGCCTCAGCCTCCCAAACTGATAAGATTACAGGTGTGCACCACTGTTTCTGGCAAGAGTTCTTATTTTAGAAGCAAAAACCACGACCCAAAAGTGCTGAATGAAATGCCACAGAACGCCCGTGAGGTCATGCATTCTCATCCTGGTGAATGATGTTGAGAAGACAGGAAGGGGATGGCGGGGCCAGACTTACACAATCATGCAGAACATCATGAAGACGTTCCAGAGGGCGATGAAGATCCGAAAGTATCTGAGGCTCAGTAAGAATTCCCGGATGTTGTCCCCTAGAGAGTAAGAGAGCACTTTTATGGCACTGTCCACTGTAGTGGGCTTCTATGATTTCTGCCCAGCCTGCACTCACAATCCCGACCCTCCAGTGGCTGTGTGGCTTTTCTCCGCATTCCCCCACCCTTAGCTCTCAGGCCATTTACCTGACAGCACAAGGCCCAATGCCTCTGATGGGCTCAGAGAGGATCATGTGCCCAAGTCAGTCCAGTAAGAGATTCCCCTGGGACTTTTGCCTCAACTACTCGGAAAAAGTCTCTCATTTTTTGTCAGGTTTGCTGGGCTGGGAAGTTTTAAGCTCAGGGCCCTAAAAAAGGGGTCAAAAAACTGGCCCACAGGCCAAATCTGGCCCCTGCTGCCTGATTCTTTGTATGGTCTGTGAGCTGAGAATGGCTTTTACATTTTTTTTCAGTGTTTTTTTTCAAAAACATCAATATTTAGTGAGAAAAGTGGCATACAGCCATGCCCATGCAGCTATAAATCACCTCTGGCTACTTTTGTACCATCACAGCAGAACTGTTCTTGTGCTTGAGACCAAATAATTCAGAGCCTCAAATATTTGTCTTGTGGCCCTTCACAGAAAAACTTGTTCAGGAGGGTGAGGCAAGAAGATTGAGAGTTTAAAGCCAGCCTCAGCAATAGCAAGGCATTACACAACTCAGTGAGACCCTGTCTCTAAGTAAAATTCAAAATAGGGCTGGGGATGTGGCTCAGTGGTCAAGTGCCCTGAGTTCAATCTCTGGTCCCCCGCCCCCAAAAAAAATTGCCATTCCCTGCTCAAGGATCATCTTTGCCAACACAAGTCTGGTAACACAGGAGAAAGGAGAATTGAGAGCTAGAGAGTCAGAAGTTAGAGGGCTGGTGTGAGACCTGGATCCAGGAGTACTAAAGTCAATTCTACTTTGACCACTTTGAGCTGACTCTGAAGTATTTTCAACTGAAAGCTCCCAAACTCAGGCACATATACCTGGGGACAAGGGGTCAAACTGCTTTGAGGAAGCTAACAAGCTCTGACTGCAACCATAGAGTTTACTGCAGTTCAAATCCTGGCTCTGCACTTCCGCACAGGTGACCTGGGCTGGTCTCTGGACCGTCTCTGCTCACTTCCTCCTCTTCAGGTACGGGTGGGTAGCTGAGAAGACCTCGGCACGGTGTCTGGCACACATGGAGCTCTGAACAAACGCAGCCACTACCGTACAGGGGTCAGCCCGGCAAGGGGAACGGGGATGAGGAGCACTCCCTTCAGGGCACAGAGGGAGGGTTCTGAATGGAAGGAGGCTTGAGGGAGGCAAAGCGCATGGGAAAGTGGCAGATCCAGAAGTACACAGCAAACTCCTGTCCAGGTGCCCTTCTTGCCATTCCTGTCTCTGACACCATTTCTGAGCCCTTGTGCCACCACAGCTTTGATTTAGAACTGTGAGGCAAATCCCAGAGCCTGGAATAGTGTCTCCACGTTGTAGGTGGGCAATATATGGCTGCAGAATGCATGCACGCATGAATGAATGGATGGATAGCTGATCAAGTGACTGAGAGTACAACCTCTGCAGTCCAAAAAACCAGTTTCCAATCCCGATTCTGTCACTCATTTGTTGTGTGACCACAGGCAAGTTGAGCCATGTCTACCTCTGGCCTCGGTTTTCTCATCTGTAAAATGGGAAAATGAGCCATACCTTTCAGGGTTGGAGGTGAAATGAAACACTGGCCGAAAAATTCTAGCAGGGCAGCCACCCAGAAGGGCCCTCAATAAAGTGGAACTGTTAAACTGTCTACAGTTCAGCACCCTTCACCTTGGCTATGGTACCTCAAATGGCCTCCCGGCACACACTCCAAATGGAGCTGCAACCCCATCAACATCTTGTGACTCCTGACATCACCTCCTTTACCACCTATTCTTTTTTAATAAATATTTATCCTGCCCCAAGGTAAATTCCATGAGGTAAGGACTACATCTGCCTTGTTCCTGCTTTATCCCAGCACCCAGAGCAGTGGCTGGCAATGTAGTGGATATTCAAAAAATGTCTGACTGATTGATGAATGAATGAATACAAGTTGCATACAGCTTTCATTTGATTCTCAAGAGTCACATAAATAAATTCAGTAGGAAATGTAAAATTCTGGGGCCTCCAGAAGCTGTGTAGGTAAGAGGATACAAATATGAAGGGGCTTGGGTCTGGAATGAGGTGGAGTCCCAGGCCCTGTCTCAATTGAGGTTCTGCTTTTCAACCCTACTCAATGGATGCCAAGAGAGCTCCTAAATCCCAAGCTGCAGGATTGATTTTCTGATCTTTTTTTTTTTAAGAATAATCAGGTATCTGAACTTTTATATAAAACCTCCCAATTTGGCAACTAATTAAAAAAGCACACAAGTCTGAGGCACTCTGAAAGCAACAGCGATGGGTGGAGCTATTCATTCATTCATTCACTCACATGCATTAACATGCCGCTCTCTGAGGACACGGGGAGGGGATGAACTCCTCTGGAGTTTACAATCCAGTGCTAGGGGCAGACATTAGCCAAATGATAGCACACATAATGAAAAATCATAACCACTGAAACAGGAATTGAGATGAGTGCTGACTTATCAGAGAGGGTCTCACAGAAGAAAGGAGGAGGTGCCAGAAGTGGGCAGACGGAAGAACACACCCTCAGTCCCAACCCACTCTCACTCACATACGCTCAGTTAGAAGGAAAACCAGGTAGATATGTTGAGAAAGAACCATACTCTCCTAAGTGAACAGTGCGATTGCAGGGTGCAGAAAGAAGACCTTACCTGTACTGGGCTCCCTCGACTCCTCCCCAAAGCCCTGCGTGTCCTTCTTTTTCCTATAAAGAGAAGACAGACCATGTCCACTTTCAATGGGACAAAGAAGGCTTGGTCCCCTGACCCTGCAACACAGCTCAGAAGGCCATGATTACTAAGCTTCGGACACTCCTGCCGCTGTCATGCTGTGTGACCTCGAGTGCCTCTGGGCCACCACCTACACGGCCCATATAAGCCACACCCACAAGGTGAACAGGGTGGTCCAAGGGCAGCGAGTATGTGGCCGAGGGTCCAGGGCAGGGCTGTTTCTGGGAGAAAGAGGCTGAGGCTCCCAGAGGATATGAGCAGGAGACCGGATTTAAATTTCCGTAGTGTTGCTGAGGGTCAAAGGAAGAAAAACCAGAGAGGAGGCGTGACCAGAGGTCGACCCAGGGCTTGGGGCGGGGCCTACAACGTGGGGCGGGCTTACGCCGCGGAGGCGTGACTACGAGCTCCCGGGTGGAGGCGCAGTCTTAGCGCGGCCTACTCACAGTTTAAAGTTGAGCACGGCCCCAGCGTTCATCAGCAGCGTCCTGCAGAAGGAGAATTACGTTTACTAAGGCCGCCCCTCGCCCCATCTGGCTGTCTCTCCCCATCCTCTGGCCCCTCTAATTACCCAAACAGCAGGATGTCCCCGATCATCGTTACAGCAGAAGTACCCGTCAGAACCGGAAACGGAAGCCCCAGGAAGGGAGGGGAGAGGAGTACTAATCGACCAATCCTGGAACAAGTGTGGTGAGGGATGGGCCAATCGAAGGCCACGGCAGGCAGGGTCCCGCCCTTTGCAGGCCAGGCCCCTTTACGAGGGAGCGAGCGCCCCTCCTCGCAGGGGAGGCCCAGTGCGTCCCGGCAGGAAGGGCGGGGCGAAAATGCTTCTTCGCCTCAGAGAGAGAAGCCTTCTGGGGGTGGGGGCACTTTGGAAGAGTTCTGCGCATGCGTGACCTGCCGCCGGAGGATTAGTGCAGCTGCAATTCTTTCCTCCTAGCTGGGTCCGGGCTTCTGCAAAAAGGAAGCTCCGGATGCCTGAGGAGCTGTCCGGAGGCGGGTTCTGTCACAGTGGGCTCCTCCGAAACGGAGCGCTCCAATGACTGGACTCCAAAAGGGGGTCCTCTGGGCCCCGGGGGAGGCGGGGACTCTCAGCCGGCACCGCCGGGGAGAGGGTCCCCACTGGGTGGTCCACAGGGCAGCGGGTTCTGACTGGTGGGTCCCTTGGAGGATGAAAATCCTGACCGAACGGGTCCTGTGGGACTTGGGGGTTTCCCCTGGGTTCCACAGGGGTCGGATGTCCTGACTGAGGGGTCTCTTTGGGAGCCGGGGTCATGAGTAGGGTCCACAAACGACAGAGTCCTACGGGAAGCAGTGTCCTAGCCGAGCCAGGCCCGCAGGGACGGGCGTGCCGCTTGGGTGGGCTCGGTGAGGGCCAGGTCCCCGAGTGGGCAGCCTCTCCCGGCCGACTCGCCCTCCATGGGGCCGGGCTCCCAGGCTGGCGAGGCCGGGGGGTGGTCGTGATGACCCGAGTGATGGGGCCTGGGACTCGGTCGTCCAACTCCGTGGGACTGGGCGGCCCGCCACCCGCCCTGGGGTGAACCGTCGCCCCTCCTCTCCCCCGGGGGACGGGCTGGGGGTGGCGCCTGGAGGGCCGGGGCGGGCCCAGCGGCGGGGGCGCAGTCGCCGGGCCGCGGGCGGCGGGACGGACAGGGCCGGGGGCCGCGGTGGCACCCGGCGCGCGCCATGGACCTGCTGTCGGCCCTGAGCCTGGGCGAGCTGGCGCTCAGCTTCTCACGGGTGCCGCTCTTCCCAGTCTTTGACCTCAGCTATTTCATCGTCTCCATTCTCTACCTCAAGTATGAACCCGGTGAGCTCGGGCCGGGGGCTGCAGGGGCTGGCGGCGGAGGTCGGGGGACGGCGGTGAACTCTGGGGTCGCAGGAAAGGAGAAGCCCTGGATGATGAAGGCGGGAGTGGGTAGGACAGAACCCGGGACTGGATCGAGGGAGTAGGCGGATGCTGAGGTCTTGGGGTTCTCCCACGCGGGTGCCGGCTGGGGAAGGAAGCCCCCGGGATGGTGGTGCTGGGGGAGGGGGAGCAGCTGCGGAGGCGAGGGAAGGAGAAGGAGGAGCGAGTTTGTTTAGAGGAGGGGGAACATCTGCGGGGGACGGGAAGAAATTGGCGGTCGTATTGGGGCAAGGCTGCATGAACCTGGGCAAGGGTCCTAGACAGACAGGGGTCGACGCGGCTGGCAGGGTCAGACGTCCTCGCCGCCTGCTGCTGTGACCTCCCTTAATGCCCTTGGCACACGGAGTGGGAGCGGCTGCTTAGTGTCTATATAAGGGCTGGCCGTGCTAGGGGCTGAGATCAGGTTCAGGGAAAGTGACACGGGGTGTGGGGGGGGGGCTCCCTCCCTCCCCGATGCATCTATCTGGCACCCTCTCCTGCCTTCCCTTCTCCTTCCGTCGGGTGGTGCTGGATCTCTGAGCCCTGTGGGAATTTTTCCAGCCCTGACCTGGGATCCTTTCCACCTATTGGGCCTCGAGGCTGGGTGATTTGGGGTCAGCCTCCTCCCTCAACTCCAGACCTTCTTGGGGGAATCGCAGGAGATCAATTCTGTTTCGATTTTTTAAGCTTTTTTTTTTTTCTTTTCTTTTTTAATGAGGACGAACAACCTCCTTAGAATGTGTTCTACTTGTATATAAGGTTCACCAGAGCAAATGTTTCTCATTCATCTCCTAGTACTTTAATTATTCTAGTGCACCAGCAAACTTAATGGACAAGAGAATTTAGCTTTAGAAAAAAAATCAATCACTGGAAACTTTGTGACCTTTTCTCCCAGTTAGATGTAAATTACCACCATATCTTAGAATGGAAGTGTCTTTATTCTTTTTCAGGAGATAAAAATAGGTACTCACCTTTACTAAAAAATAGAACTGAGAAGCAAAAAGGGGGAACAGTTAATTTCATGGTAGCCACCCTTCCAGAGCTCTCTTCTGTGCATTTGTACCCATGGTGGTAGGCATAAATGCACAGCCTTACACAGACAGGATCACACTCTGTCAGGTAGCTCTGTTCTATTTTTGCCTATCCACATGCCAAAGCCTGTTTCTTTAAAACCTCTTCTGGATAGCAGTTACTTTGCAAAGCAAAATAAGCTTTTGTATTGTCCTAGTGTAATTGTGGGGCTGTGTATTTCCTGCCTGGAGAATTCCTGGTGGCTCATGCCAGTTCCCTGAGCAATTTCAGAATTTAGCACACTTTGGAAAATCTAAAATGTGAGGAGGTAGGTACCTGGAGGGATGGATGTAGGACACAAGTGACTAGAGGAAGGAGGTCTCCAGTTAGCTGGGAGCCTGAAGAAGGTCTAGACATTTCTCCAAGAATCTCAGAATAAATCATTTGCTCTAGAATTCCCAGACCCTGAAGGTTCTAGAAGGTTGAGGAGTGGTTCTCAACTCTGGCTACACTTTAGATGCCTGGGTGGGGGGGGGGGGCTTTTAAAGCTCCATCCCCATTCCAGACCAACTGAATCAGAATATCTGGATGCTTGGGTTCCAAGCTCCCATCCCCTAGCTCCCCTCCCCTAGTGACTTGTGTGTGCCATCCAGGTGGAGGATACCCGCCCATTTCAACTCTTTTCATAAATGGGGAAATAGGAAATAGAGGGTAAGCTAATTTAAATATGCAATCACACTGAGCTCTGTGGCTGGTAGCCTCAGGACTCAAACCCAGGTATGTTTAGACTCCAAGAATCAGTATGATTCTTTCTTCCCTTAGAAAAACAAGCTGGTAGATTTAAGCTGTTAGTCCCCCCAGTTGGGGACGAGCCTCTGTAATGTTTCTTCTCTGAATCTAGCTACAAAATTTGCATAGCGAGGTATGAAATGACAGTATGGGACCTCTTGTGCAGAAATGAAAAATTTCAACATGGTGACATTCAATCATTCAGTTTGGGGCCCTTCTGAGCTCAGGATCCCCAGAAACCAACCCTGGCTGAGAGAGCCCAGCCAACTTGAAGGAAAAACCTCTGACATGGAAGTCAGTTCCACCTCTGGCGACAGGTAGTAACTTGGCTACTTTACCTCTGTACTTCATTTGTTCATCTGTGACATGGAATCATTAGTAAAATAATCCTGGACTCCCTTTCCTGGCTATTGTGAAGATCTGTTGAGAACTTTGTCAGTAGTTGGGTCCAAGGCATTTGTGAGAAGTGGTTATATTTATTTGGAAGCCTGTGGAGAAATGTGTTATCTGGGTCAGGCTATCTGGAGAATTCTGGGCCAAAATGAAGCTTATGGGTGTGGTTCTCAATCTGTGTCTCCTGGGAGCTGGTTAGAAATGCAAAGTCCCAGGTCCCACCCAGACCTACTGAATCTGAGTCTGTATTTGAACAAGATCCCCAAGTGATCTGTAAGCATATTGAAGTTCAGGAAGGAACGAGCTAAAAGAGGCAGGGCTTATTTAAACTGGAGCTTCCTAAGGGCAGGAGGTTGGAATCTGGCTCATTTCTGGAGCCCCAAAATGCACACAAGGGGAAGGGTTGGTAGGTGCTGTATGCACAAATGAATCAATGAGTGACAGTCCTGGCTACCTAAAGCCCTGATTTACCCAAAGAAAGTTTCAGAAAGTGATTCTCACACTTGGTCGCACATCATACTCACCTGAGTAACTCAATCTTTCATCCAGGAAACCCCAATCTGTCTTTTAAATCAGAATTACCGGGGATGGCACCAATATCAGTGTAGTGATCTTTCAGTATCCACAGGGGATTGCTTCTTGACCCCTTCCCCACCATCATAGATACCCAAATCAAGGATGCTCAAGTCCCTTCTATAAAACGGCACAGTATTTGCATAGAACTACACACATCCTCCTTAAGCTTTAAATCACCTCTAGATTACTTATAACCCCTAAAACAATGTAAATGCTGTGTGCACAGCTGTAATTCTGTATCGCTTCGGGAATCAGGACAAGGAAAAAAGCCGGGGCATGGTCAATACAGGTGCAGTGTTTTTTTTTTTTCCTTGAATATTTTCAGTCCAAAGTTAGTTGAATCTGCAGGTGTGAAATCCACAAAGGCTGGGTGTATTTCTTGAGATTCCCCAGGTGAAAATCATTTCTCTACATGAGTTTCCAAGCCTCAGCACTAGACAGTTAGGATGTTGACTGCTCTATGAGATATGTGCAGCATTACCGGCCTCAACCCTCCAGATGCCAACAACTCCCCCCTGCCCCCCCAGTAATAATGACACCCACATTGCCAGTGGGTGGAAGGGGTTAATATAGACAATAAGTCTCAAACTCCAGTGCCCCTAGGGACAGGCAGGCTATACATAGGGAAGTAAGCCAGGTAAAGACCATGTCCAGGTGAGAACCAGTCAGGAGCACCTCCACCTTGTTGAAGCTAGAACTGCCAGAGCTATTCCCCCCTCCAAGGGAAACTAGAAATGTAGACTTGTAGCTCCTTGTGTTTCTACAATGTTCCAGGCATTCTGTCTAAACATTGTTCCTCTTTTAAATAGATTTTATTTTTTCAGAGCAGTTTTAGGTCCACAACAGAATTAAGCTGAAAGTATGCAGTTTCCATATGCTACCCCCGACACCCTGTGCTCAGCCTCCCCTGTCACCAATGTCCTTTACCTGAGTGAAATGTTGGTTACCATCAGTGAATCAACAGTATTGTCACTAGCATCATCATCATCTATATCAACATCACCATCAACCAAAGTCTGTTTACGTCAGGGTTCCTTTGTGTTGTGTGTGCTGTGGATTTCGACAGCTATACAACACGGATCCACCATAATAGTATCTTACAGAATCATTTGACTGCCCTAAAAATTCTCTGTACTTGGGCTGGGGATGTGGCTCAAGCGGTAGCGCGCTCGCCTAGCGTGCGTGTGGCCCGGGTTCGATCCTCAGCACCACATACCAACAAAGATGTTGTGTCCGCCGAGAACTAAGAAAAAATAAATAAATGTTAAAATTTAAAAAAAAAAATTCTCTGTACTTGCCAGGTGTGGTGGCGCAAGCCTGTAATCCCAGCAGCTTGAGAGACTGAGGCGGGAGGATCATGAGTTCAAAAAGCCAGTCTCAGCAAAAGTGAGGCACTAAGCAACTCAGGGAGACCCTGTCTCTAAATAAAATGCAGAATAGGGCTGGGATGTGGCTCAGTGGTCGAGTGCCTCTGAGCTTCATCTCCAGTATCCCCCCGAAAAAATTCTCTGTACTTGACCTATTCATCCCTCCCTTCCCAGCAACCACTGATGTTGTTACTATCTATCTCTTTTTCTTTAGCAGAATGTCATTGAGATGGACTCATATAGCAGGTGACCTTTTCAGACTGGCTTCTTTCACTCAACAGTATACATTCAGGGCCCATGTCCCTGTCTCTGCGTCTTGCTGAACACTATGCCACAGTGCAGATGAGCACACCATTGTTTATCCCCTCACCTACCAAAGGTCATTCCTGGTTAGAGTTTGGTTGTTTCTAAGACAGTGGTGGCTGGGGAGTCAGAGACAGCAGTTCATCAATTCCTGGGTTGAGACCTCTGGTTCAAACTTCAGGTTTTCTGAGGTTAAACTGATTTTCATCCTTCAACCTT